CCTGGCCGTTCGCGGGGATGTGGTTGCTGGTGGGTGCGGGGGGGGGGGCGGGGGCGTGGGGGGGGGGGGGGGGGGGGGGGGGGGGGGGGGGGGTTAAGCAACGGTGATATAAAATGTGTTGATGTTTTAACATGTTGTACTTGACGAGATGAATGAGGAGGTTGATGTCGTTCATATACATCATAAGAAAATGATTTAGAAATTTTATTTAAATAATGTTATGGATCAATACCATTAGATGAATAATGATTTTTATAATAACGGTAATCATTATTGTAGACTCGAGAATAACCTTTAAAATCATTTATTTATGTTGTATTTGCTGTTGTTGTTGTTGTTGTTGTTGTTGTTGTTGAATATGAAAAAGAAGTGCCTGTTATGAAATCATCATTATCAGCAATTTTAACTTGTTCTAAGAAACATTGTGCAGCTTTTGGATAGTTTCTTCAAGTCTCAGTAGATAACAATGGATGAAGCTCATTCACAAGATAGTGGACTTTTGTAGATTCATTCATGTATGGATCAGCTTATTGCATTAACTTGATCATTTCAGCATAATATCGAGTACCAGATTGACGAACTGTTTGTTAATATTGTTTTAATTTTAGAAATGCTAAATCACGTTGTAAATTTGATGTCAATGATTTCTTTTATTTCATTAATAAATATAAACCAAAATATGAACTATGATTTTCCTTGAAGACATGCATGGATCAAAATTTTTTATCTAAATCACATAAATTCATGCTTTCAAATTTTTGTTCAATTTCCTCAAGCCATATAATATCATCATCTTTTCTACCGTAAACTTAAATCGAATCCTTACCGAACCTATCAATTAATATTTTTCATGTAGTTGACGATAAAACAGAATTTGATAAATGAGTCTTATTTGAGCCGAATGGTATTATACTATTGCATCCAATCGATGTTGTTGTTTTTTTCATTTTAATAATTTAGAGAATTATTATCTAACTTATCATTAATAACAATAGGTTAATGTAATGATGAAGATTTACTTTCTTATTCAATAGAAACACCATGATAAGGGGATTATCCTATCTTAAAATATTCAATTCATGCAATTTATGATCAATGATTAATTTTTTTAAATTGGATGGTAATTATAAAAAATTTGGTGATTCATTTTTAAAATTATTCCACGTAAAGGTACTATTTCGTTTAAAATTTGTAAACCATGATTGTAATATATGATCTAATTTTATACCTATTTTAATAACATGAATATAATCAGGATATTTGTATTTACTGAAAATATATTCAGATTGTGATAAAAATTTGTCAACATCAAATTCATGTGGTGATTTAAAAATAGAAATATTCGATAGAATTTTATTTTTTAATTGCAATTGTTTACCTTGAATTTCTTCTAGTTCTAAAATATCACCAGTTTCAGGCATAATTGGAATTAATTGTGAAATTATGTGGATTATTTGGAGTAAATGAAGATAGTCCTTGGTTTACCGATGAAGATAAAATGGAAGACAATTTTCATTGTAATTTTGATGTAACTTTTTCTCGTTTTCGACGCTTACCTGAAAATTGAAAATCAGTAACACATGAGTCAATTAATTTAGTTGAATTGCGTGTGCTCATCAAAATTCAATATTCATAATGAAAAATTAAAGTATTTATATTTCTTTTCTTCGTCAAGGGTCGCCACTTGTTAAAGATGATTCACCCTTTCTTTATTTTTTGGTTCAGAATATGCACACATTCACGCATATATGATAATAACATAATCATATAATCTACTATGACAGTGAAATACATATGCTGATATAGACACAAAGAATAAGAAAAAAAGGAGAAAGGGAAAGGCATATAACAAGGACAATGTATGATCTTGTGTGTTAACACGCATTTTTTTATAACAGTGACTGCACTTCGTTGCTTCTCTAGAAATCTTTTTTATATTTGTAAAAGTAATGCGTTGATGAAGTTGATTCCGTCTCGAAAATATATCATAATTTGTTTTTAGCGAACAGTAAATTTATTTTTCTTTCAATAGGTGATGCTCTGCAAGCGATGTTGAAAATGCAAAATTACTGCAGAACTTTTTTCTTGTTTTTTTAGATACGGTTAGAAAGAGCGTGATAAGTTGAACAAAAATATGTTTTCACTTTTTCGTATTGGATTTTTAGGAGAAAAATTTCACATTTTTTCAATAACCTTCTGTTTGTGAGAAGTAGATCAATTTTTTTTGTTTTCTTCAAATTTCAAAACTGATTGTTTCAGACTCAGCCTGAAATACTGAATATAGAAAAGTTATTTATAAATGACTTTCCTATGTTCAGTATTTCACGCTGAATTTGAAATAGACAGTTTTGAAATTTTGTCTAATACGAAAAAGTGAAAATATCTATATTCTTGATCAGCTCCTGCCACTCTATCTAATCATACATAAGAAAAGAAAAAAAAGTTCTACTGTAATTTTGTATTACCGACACCTTATTTATTTTTATTATAATCAATTAATTTTGATTTCATTTTTAATTTACATTAAATATCGAATATATCAATAATTATTCTTGGGTCGTCATTTGATTATTGCTAAATCGAGCATATATTTTTTTAGTTAACGGTTTCGATGTACATGAAGGTTAAGAGATGAGTCACATTCTCACTCCATTTGTCACTACTAATATGTTTAAAAAACAACAGCTAAGAGCAGAGCGTATTTTCACATGAGGGATCGTGGCTCAATGACATTTTTACCAAAGATAATTGTCCGTATACAATTATTATTGAGGACAACAAGTCGAGAAGATTTTTTAACATGCATTTTTCAAAAAACACTTAAGAACTAACACTTTCAATTAATCTGATCAAACATATTTTAATTTTAGAGCATTTAATTCGGAAAAGACTTCAGAATTTTCAAGAAAACCCAGTATATTCGAAAAAAAAATTCGAAAGCTCTTCGTACAACAATATTTGATGCAAACAAAGCATTTTATTTTTATCGATAAATGATTAATAGTTGTGATGCGCATTATTTCTTTTTTTGTCGATTACAGTTTAAGATGATTAGATAATGAGATACGCAACCATTCTAACTGTCAAGAATGATACAAATTGTATGAAACAAAAGCGCAATAGCAATACCTTGTTAGATAAAGGATGAGAAAAAAAATGTAATGATGCAGCATGTGCTTTTTCATGTGCGCGCAGTATTGATAATATCAAATGACAAAAAGAGATTGACCGATTTCTAATTTTAGCATTCATTTGATACATTTTGAACGCCATTTCTCTCCGTTTTATGAAAAGAAGCACTGTGAGCTCGTCTATGAGGGCAGATAATGCCCAGATATGTTTCCTTTTAAACAAGTGATATTCGAGATTGAAAACACAAAATTTTCAAAAACCATGGTACTTCATTAAGTAACAAATACCGCAGAAGGAAACACGACCGATACCACTTTTATTGTAGTTTCTAGAATTCTCACTGCACATTCTTCAATGTTTTTGAATGAAAGCCAGTATAAACCTGTCCAAAATCTCATCATCAATTCAAACTATTATTACTTCCTGATTACGAACTATTCGTAAACAAAAAATCATGTAAAATCACATGGCTGGAAAACATAGACACAATCTACACAACGCCGAGAAAAAAATAGAAGGCTTACAAAGCCTCAGACGCTATTGAAAAAATACGATCAGCAGTGAAGTTTCGAGTTCCATCAATCTATCTGTCTTCATTGAACATTGGTTCTTGTTTTCTTAGCAATAACGTTTTAGATTTAATTAATTATAATATATAAATAGTAGCAAAATTGATGAGCACTGTATTGTAATAATTTTAGCATTCATCTACGTCATTATTGGTTCTGATATTATTTAAGAGACATTTTTTATGTTTATCGAACTGCTTCTACAATTTGGGTCACATACAATCGTTCTCATAATTTGATTGAGCAATGCATTTATTGACGTTGGTGTCGATCATCAAGACAACGCTAAACAACAGATGGAATCAAAGCCGATTTAGTGTACCATGGACAAGAATAAGATCCTTGTTCAATTTTTTTCCTCTTGGATTATTACACATAAACGTGTATGTCATTTGATAGGTGATACAGTCAATCATATTTCTGTACGCATATTATATTTTATTTACGTATTACTTTGTTTTATTTTGTATTTATTTGGAAATGACCTATTTTAGTTGTGGGTATGCCCAGTTTGAATAATTGGACAAGAAAAATTTTGACTGACGAGGGAACATTCCCAAGTGACCCGCTCCATTTTGACTCATTCACATCTCATTCGAAACAGTATATTGAGATAAGAAAAAGCCTAAAAGAATTCGTGCCCATGGTCTACTGGTGAAGAGTTACGACCGTTTTACTGAAATTTTTACTGTGAGCCAGGCATTTAGGGAAAAACCAAAATGAAGAATTTCGACCTGAAATTTTACCTATAGATAGATTTAATAGTCATTAGATAGTCGTGAAAGCTTCAACGAAAACGAACATGCCTTTCTCAAGTTATTCAATTTTCAAAAAACCAGCTGTTTACCATAGGAGGGCACAATAATCCAGTTTAGTTGGGCATTCAATATCTCGAGAAAGACAGGTTCGTTGTCGTTGAAACTTTCAGGACTATCTAATGACTATTAAATCTATCTACAGGTAAAATTTCAGGTCGAAATTCTTCATTTTGGTTTTTCCCTAAATGCCTGGCTCACAGTAAAAATTTCAGTAAAATGACCATAAATCTTCGCCAGTAGACCATGGGCACGAATACTTCTAAGCTTTTTCTTATCTCAATACACTCACACACAAATATGTATTAGTCATACAAGAGAAAGAGAGAGAGAGCAAAAGAAGTTTTGTCTCCATTGTTGTTTGTATTCTCTCAATATTACAAAAATAGCTCATTTTCAAATAAATGCAACATAAAGCAAAGTAATACGCAAATACAATAGAATAAGTGTATAAAAATATCGTTAACTGTCTTAACTAGACAATGACACACAAATATGTATTAGTCATGCAAGAGAAAGAGAGAGAGAGCAAAAGAAGTTTTGTTTCCATTGTTGTTTGTATTC